AAGACAATGCTCCAGACATATTTCATCACATTGGCCTAGTTGTCTATCTGACCCGTGCAGGCCCAACAAGGCATCAATTAAAACTTGCAGTTGCTGTGTGGCATATGAGGCAACTGAGCATGATTACTGCTTGTGATGATGCAGATATTATAATTACTAAGTAATTATCTTGCATCAGCACCGTTGGGGCAATGTTTAATTTTTTACAATCACCCACACCCATACACACTGTGTGTATATGTTACAGGCACTTTAGAAAATCAGTCATTTTGTAAAATGCCTAGGCATTTTACAAAAAGACGGCTGTTTGAAAAATGACTGAACGCAACCAGGCTGTTTTCAAAATGGCTAGTCATTTTACAAAATGACTAGGCATTTTGCAAAATGCCTGACCAGCATGGAACGTAGATCCCACTACAGATACTATGGCCAACAGTTTTTGGACGTCTTCCTATACCCTATAGGTGCGTGTTCAGCCTGTAGCTGATCGATCTGAAGCTCTGTGATGACGACAATGCTGAGTAACGACCAGGTTGAGTTGCAGACTCGGCTGTAGCATAAAGTATTGTTTAGTTAAAGGGACTATCCCACCTTCTAAAATGTTGTTAAAACCAGTTAAGTTGTGCCCGACTCTATAGATTGGATGACCAGGAACACGGTTCTGACATTTATTTTTCATTAAACATCTTAGGCTTCCCATATTCCAAACACAAACCTTCAAATATGTGACGTCACAGCCCAAAATTACCTCCTTCCCCAGGCCACATTACTGTCATAAAGCTGATTTTTTTTTTACTCTGTAGGCACCACAACAAAGTTCAGACCAAGTTTTAAGCGATTTTTCAACGAACAAACCCATTTAAATCAGAATGACTAAACGAGGTGACGTCACACTAACGGTCGCTCCATGTTGAAGATAGGGCCTTGTACAAGGCCCATTTTCAAATGAAGGGAACGAATTTCTTCCACACCAAGAGGCCGCGGGGGTTGCAACCTAGATAGATAGTGGTTTCTGAACCTCGCCGCAAACTTGGCTATCTCAACTCAAACCCCATGTTAAAGGTGGGATAGTCCCTTTAACGCTGTAAAAACTCCCAAGTACATCAACGCCGTTCATGTTCTGCCAGAAACTAGACTGACTGACTGTAGGTTGATAAAAAGTCTACTATTTCTATCCGTTCCTGGTTCGTTATGAATTGATGGTCTTTGCCAGCACTTGAGTCTATGATCTCCGCCACCTTACGGTCGAATTCTGGACGCGACATAACGGTCCACGAGGCACTCGCGACACGCACGGACGCTCACTCACAGCCCATGGATCAACAAAGAAGCCCAGTGTGGACCACCCCTCCCCTCCTCAGTTGACTGGACAGCGCTCATTGGCTCTAAGGAACTTCAACAAGTCTACCCTAGGCCTAGTCCACGCAATTGTTTACAGCATTATTGTTTAGGTTTTCTTCCTAGCTTTTCTTTGGAATAAAAAGTTCTCTGATCACAATGAATATTAAACAATAATTAACAAAACACGATTAATGTTGTTCTGTGGCAACAGCTTTGAGTACCTACTTGCATGGTCCCAGTTAAAGGAAATAGTTCACTTTCCTGAAATTAGTATTTTGCTATGGATTTATGTTTTTTTTTATGCTCAAAATGATCAGAAAATAAAACAAAACGTTTTTGTAAAAAGGATTATTTTCTATATTTTAGTATAAGAAGAACTATATTCTATATAAAATAATGTTTGACGCGGAAGCTTATTACGCGTTGACCAATCATATTGCGTAGGACAAACCCATCGGCTGTAAGCAGCATTCTGATTGGCTGACGATGACGTGACTGCATTCCTCCGCAAGGCACGCATTCCTCTGCAAGGCACTCTTTTCGGAACGAAAAATGGAATATCTTCGTCTAGGGTGATCGTTGGGCCGTAAAAGCTTCTGATTTGTGCTAGTCTCAGCGCAAGCAACAAAACTGCTATTCCAGTTCCAAACCCCATGTTAAAAGTGAACTATTTCCTTTAAAAATATCAAGCTCCACATCGGGAGAATCATCAGGTCGCTTGGCGTAGGACGAGAGCGTTGGTTTCAGAAGACACTAACGCCTAAGTGTGTGGGATCGAATCCTCGCGACCTCTAATAGTTTTACAGATACAGGCCGGCATAGGGCCAGTCGTTTGTTGACGCTCCAGATCGATCATTTTAAATCCAGCAGCGTCGCTGACGTGGGGCTTGGAAATGTCGCGGGCCTGCACTTCTCAAAATAGAGGTAGGTATGGACTTCCCAGTTCCCACTGCTGGACTCCTCTGGTCATAATGCTGGACTCCTCGGTCCACCTACACGCTACCAAAACGTATATAATTAGGTACTCGTATCTACAACACGCTGCTCAGTCATTTTGTAAAATGGCTAGGTATTTTGTAAAATGCCTAGGCATTTTGCAAAATGACTGGAGAGCCAGTCATTTTGTAAAATGCCTAGGCTTTTTGCAAAAAGCCTGGAAAATCAGGCATTTTGCAAAATGCCTAGGCATTTTACAAAATGACTGATTTTCTAAAGTGCCTGCAACATATACTTTATACATAGGTGTGGATATGAGGATGGGAGGGGTGGAAGGGACAGAATGGGAGAATGGGATGGAAGCAAGTAAAAAAGATGGAAGCGTGCCGGGAAGGGATGGAGACGGTGGAAGAATACTGAATAGGATAAGAGTGGGAGTGTATTGGGTCGGGTGGGAAGGGTTGGGGACGGTGCAAGAATGGGAGGCTGGGAAGGTGTGAATAAATAGAAGCCCGAAGGAGTGGGGAGGTATGAGGAAGGAAGGGGCAGTGCAGAGGATGGGGATAGATAGAGACGAGGGAGGGTGGAAGGGAATGGACAGGGCAGGTAGAGAGGTTGTGAGGGGGCAGGCGGGAGGAATGAGGAGAGGATGGGAGGATGGGGACAGTGGGTCGGTGAGAAGCATTTTGAGGACACCGGCAGGGCCGCCACCGCTGGGGACAGCAGGTGGGAGGGTGGGGACGGTGGGCAGGGTGGGTCGCTGGTGGTAGGTAGGCCGCCCTGAGGACACCGCGGGGCCACCGCTGCCGGGGCAGCAGGTGGGAGGGTGGGGACGGTGGGCAGGCAGGGCGCTGGTGGGTAGGTCTGAGGATACCGGCAGGGCCGCCGTCGCCGCTGGGGGCGGCAGGTGGTCGCCCGTGTCTGCCCGTCTCCGTCACAGGGGGCGACCCGCTCATGCAGCTAACATGACCCGCACCAGACAGACGTCCTCAAGGTCCCCCACTGTGTCCCCGCTCCCCTCCTCCCCTCCCTTGTGTCTCCCACCCCCTCCCCTCCCCACACCGCTACGTCATCTGATGAGCAGCAGAAAGCTTTACTTTATATTCATAATCTGTAAACACGTGATTCTGTTTAAAAAGCGAGGCATTTTCAAGTATATAGAAATCACATTTGAAGTGCGAGTTGCCAACTTTTTTTCTGCGCATAATGACAAAAAAGCAAAATTACCCTTGAAATGTATTCATCATAGTAGTCACGACTGCCAAAAAGGTACGTCATGCTTATAAAGAAAAAGGACGGAGGGACGGAAGGAAAAAAAGAACTCAATGAATTAAACGATTCCGTCCTTGTTGGTTATCATAAAGGTTCCGTCCCTCTACCCCTCCCCCTTCGTTGTTTTTCTAGGATGCGTTTTTCGTCTAAATGATCAAGAGCTTTAGTAAATGAAACAGGAATTATTTCCTGCAATATTTTCTTATAAATTTCGTCACAAAGAATGCAATAAGACTAAGAAAATACTGTGTGATCGCTATATAGGTATAATAAAATGAGAACCTGCAATTATTTGGGATCATATTTGAATTTTTGTGGGACCGGGGGCTGTTGTCTGCTACGATATATAGCCTTTGCCTTGGCTACGATCAAGGATAATATAGATAGGCGAAGTATGTAATATGTTGTAGTCTTTCCTGCTAGGCTGAAACACATCATAGATTGTTTTTGCGTATAAATGTGGTAATGCCTATGTCTTACTCAGTGATAGGGTGTTTAATAAGCGGTAAGGGAACAACGCAGACACCCTGAGTTAGCGTGGCGGCTCGGGACAGGTGGTAGAGATAAAAAAGGTGGCGGTCTATAGGCACTTGGTCTGCATGTCAAATTGACTAATTTTCGTCTGAAATAACTCCCGACCAATGTTATACAGTTCACATATCGATTAGCATGCAGCTTGAAACACATTTCGCACAAGTTGCTCTCGCAACCAGCTAAATATCGTATCTATGCCGTAAAAAGCGCTGCTGAAGAGCAGCGCTATTTCTGGTGCGTCATTTTTCACGAACAACGCAAAGTCTTACGTCACCAGAGGCGTCTTTGTCTCTTTATGATACGGAAACGCGTCCTTTTGGGTGGGGGTAGCGTCAATCTGGCTTCGTTCTTTTAACAGGTTCCGTCTTTCGTCTTCGTCCTTTTATGATAACCAAATTCCGTCTAATCTTAGAAATGACGGAGCGTCCCTCCGTTCTTTTCTTTATAAGAATGGCCATGACCTCATCTGAGTTCCTGACCATGGTTCATCGCCTGTCATCTCAGGTTTCCTCCCAGACCTATATAGAAGGGAATTACGAGCATGGCAAAAGTTAGGACCTCAAAGACAGGGGTTGGGTTTACTATTGATTAGCTTTTCTCCAGCAACGAACAGCATGGAAGTTTCAGAATATCACGGCAGTTGTTGAACATCAGTTGTTGTCTTCTATAGGCATCGTTTCCTTCCGATACTAACTACCTACCTTGACCATTTTTGTTGCGAAGATCCTAACGGACGGTATCAGGTATCACGGAACAGGTAATTATGAATTTACATCACCTAGATTCAAATTAACAGCAGTGACATCTGTGTACAGAATCTCTGCAGCAAATCATCCACCGGTGTCGGATGTGGGACCGCCACCGCGCCGGTCGGGCCGTGTTTTCCAGCTGAACCAGGAAGTTCGGTCGGTGTGTCTGCTCTGACGACCCATGGCGACGGTCCGGGCGGGGCCGGCGGCGCTCCAAAGTGACGGCTCTGTCGCGCGCCGCTGTGGGCGGGGGAGTGAGGAGAGGAGCGGTGTCAGTCACCGGCGGCCCGCACCCGGCCGCCCGTACCCACTCGGGTCGAGGTCGACGCCGCCGTACAGGAGTCGGTGCCGGCGTCGGCGGCCGGCAGACCGACTCCCGACGCCGCCGGCGACGACAGCAGACCGAGTCCCGACGCCGCCGGCGACGACAGCTCCGCGCGGCCGCCCCGACAGACCGGACATGTCGCTCCTCCACCGCGGTAAGTGGCCAGAGGCGGGCTCACAGGAGAGCTGAACTTCCGTTAGAGAGACGTCCTCCAAACTCTGGAATGTGTTCCTCTGGCAGGCAGCATCGAAACTCAGAGACATGCTCATCCCGATGGAGAGACGTCATTACAGCTGTGCGAACATGATATTGTAGTTATCCTTGACATGTATTAGTTCTGCGCTCCCTTGCCGTTTCCGGAAGCCTGTTCCAAACTCATGCATCTATAAATGCACGTGCCAAAACACTAAATATAAAAAATGCATCAATCCATAGACACAAGGCTAGCGCTTCTATGTGTTTTGATGTCCCTTCCTAGCTCCTTGATGTGACTGTCACTACTGCTAAACGCTGTACATACCTAGTATTGAACGTTCTACAATTGTTCTAGACGTGGTCCGAAAATAAATAAGTCATATCAGAGAGACACGGGCCAGCAACCACATTTTTCACAAACTCCATTACCAAGTAACTGGCGAAGTGCCGGGCAGCTACTTTCTTGGCAGTATGTCTCGGCTTGGTGTGGCGAAGGCGTGCTTTACAAGAAATGCTGCATAGAACTCGCTGCCAGCTGCATGTGCACGCGGTCGTCTGTGGTTTGCGGTTAACTTGCGTGCTTTATCAGTCATTGCATTGCAATGCAGGTTGCATTAAATCTTGGTGATTGAACACATATAGGCATTTGAATCCAGCAACTTTGTCAAAAATGACCTAAGCAATAAGCATGTTACTTGAGTGTTATGTATTCGCTGTAAGGCCCATCGGGACGCAGCCTTCAAACAAGAACGCACCTTGAGGGCTATATGTCGAGAAATCAAGCTTTTTGCGCACTATGCTGCTCCAAATTGCTATTTTTCTTTTGATCTCCATTGATATAATAATAATTTGTTCTGAAAGGCATAACTACGGTAACTTCGAATTTGGCAGAGGGATTCGCAGTAGCCAGCATGACACCCCGTACGCCAAAGCGCTAAAATGGTCGGCACATCACCAAAGTTACAGCTTGAACTTCGTTAACGGCAGTCGTCAGTCTCTGCTAGTTCGGACGACTGTAGTAAAGTAATCTTGGTTCGGATTACCCCTAAATAATAATTAAGCTAAAATGGCCTTCATGTCGGGCGTTGCGGACAAAGACATGCAGTATTTCATTGGTGCATTTTCAGTACGCCGGTAAATAGAAATGGCCCGGATAAGTCTGAGTTATAAGAGTGGCCAGCCACCGTTAGCAGGGCGCATATGTTACGCTGGATCAGCCCTACGAAAACAGTGAGGTCTGCGGACGGCGTGGGACAGACGGTCACAGTGATGTAACACACGCCACGTTCCTTTTTGACCCGCGCACGACTGATAAATATCTCACAACACGAGTGACTGGAGGGGTGACTCCTCAGAGCCACCTCCTATCTCCCGAAAATTCAAACGGCATTTGATTTTGATGGTCCGAGAACTGTCGAGAAAAACCTAATTTTGTTTACCTCAAGGTCAACGATGACATCACAGTTCAGACAAAAGTAAATATTATCAATATTCTAACATGTTCATTGTTCAGTTTGTTAAATCTGCGGGCTCTGACCGACACTAAACAAGTCACATGGGCTCATTTTTGTTTACACGCTCATAAAATCATGCTGAAAGTACTCTGTGGTTATCGAGCAGCCTGTTTTTCATGTTTGAGATTAAATCTAGGTCACGCTAGGTCACAAAATGTAATTGTATTTTAAGCATCACAAGTCATACGACATGTAGGTATTGTATTTTTTCCCATGTATCATTCGAAAACAATGCAGTCTGTGCCATTCGAAGCCATTTTCAGCTGCTTATACTGAACCTCAGGTCACGGTTAGGTAAAAAGGTCAAATTTTAAGTATTTTTTTTTAACCGAAAACATGTCTGTCAACTGCAGGATGAGTTCAGGAATACGGTGATGCTAATGTTTTTGGTGTACGATGCTTAACCCTCGCCCGTAAACGGTGTTTTGCCACCTTCGCCCATGCAGGGGGGGGGGTTGGTGCGACCCCCCCTGGCGTTTGAAAACGGAGCGTCGTAGAGCTTAGCGGAAAATACCAACGGATTGCTCTCAACGAGATCTCGCGATTGGTGGTATATTTTTGGTCCTAGGTCAACATTTGACCTACTTATGACCGGTCAAAGGTCAAATTTTCGGAAAAATCTAACTTTTTCAGATTTCCGCGCCGATTGTGGCAAAACGGTAAAAGATATCGACTCGAAACCTTCACTATCGTGATCCGTGATCCATTCTCTATCGTTTGGTGTATATTTCGATGTCATAACTCTAAAAATGATGCGTTGGGAGCATCGGAAGTCTGCAAGGTCATTTGTGCATTGGGTCACGTCAGGCGTGTGACGTCACTGACCTGACCCTGACCCAAAATGAACTACAAGAAACAACCGACGATGCCTGAAATGGATAGCAAATTCGAATTCAGGGCATCAAAATACCGCGAAAAGGCATACAAAGTCTGCAAGGCCATTTGTGCATTGGGTCACGTCAGGCGTGTGACGTCACTGACCTGACCCTGACCCAAAATGAACTACAAGAAACAACTGACGATGCCTGAAATGGATAGCAAATTCGAATTCAGGGCATCAAAATACCCCGAAAAGGCATACAAGTGCAAGAAGTCATTACAGGTCAACCGAGGTCACTGACCTGACCTTGACCTTTAGTAACCTTCAAAATGTCAACGGACATTGTGCCAATGTCAAATCAGCCAGTTGTGATTCTAAAACAATCCATTAGTGTGTCAGGTCAGTCGGCATTTATACCAATGTGAAGCAATCTCCAATTTAGCGTAAATCTGGACGGAGGTTGTTCCCTTTATGACGTCATAACTCCGTGACCTGACATGACCTTGACAAAAAATTTTTTACCAAAAGTTGCGCAAAGGATGCCCCAAAGGGTACTGAAAAATTGAGCAGGCTATCTGAAACGGTTCGGCGTGTAGCTAAGAAAAACCTCAGGGGGGGGGGGGGTGCACCCCCCCCCCTACATGGGCGAGGGTTAAAACGTACTAAAAATTGCATTTGAAATGTTGATAATGATCAAATAGTTAACAACGGTAAAACATAAAAGCCCATAATTTACATTTTTGGCATGATCGGGCTTAACCCGCGCCCCGTAGGGGGGGCCGAAACGGCCCCCCCTGTCCTTTTCGATCGATATCTCCTAAACCGCTTCAGATATCGCCACCAAACTTTCAGGACCCCTCCGGGAATCAATTTTACACATTGTGACCAAAAAATTTTCCAGAGGCTATGATAGGTTGGCCACAAATGACGTCAGAATGACGTCATGTTCTGTCATTTTCGACCGAATAAAGACCTTCGCGAGAAGACCTGTCAGGCCTACAGCTTTGAAGATACAGAAAAATGATCGAGACATAAAAGATGTAGAATTGACAGGGCTACAAAACTGCTATCTCGGATTTTTGAAATTTTTGAGTTTTGAACCCCAAAAATCAAAAAAACATTTTTTTGGATATATTAGCCAAAAAATCCAAAAAGTTTTTTGAGTTTCAAAAAACCGGAATATATGTGATAGTACCTACCGTTTTCTATCTACATACCGAATTTCAGATCGATACCTCGTTTTTTGGCCAAGTTATAGCGAAAAAAACTGTTCAAAATTGATGACGTCAAATTTTCAAACTCAATTTTTGGCAGTTCTAGACCTCGTAGAGCAAAACAAAGACCACCATTAGACTCCCCGTGACGAGCTGCATCGAATAGATACCCATTTTATGCAAAAATATCAACTTTGAAATTTGACCTTATTTGACCTGACCTTGACCTGACCTTCACCAAAACGTGACCTAGGCTGGCCCCAAAGGCTGCCTAACCCACATAATCGCATTTGTCATGTAAAATGAACCATAAAACATGTATCACACGACACTTTCATATTGTGACCCCGTTGACCTGACCTCGCTGTGACCTGACCTGGTATCAGTGACCTCAGATAGCAAAGTATGTGTTTGACGAACAATGTACCATCGATGGTTTTCAATAAATTACCAATTAACTCGATTTCACAACACATTTCTTGAAATGCCTGTGAACGGTGAAAATCTGACCTTTGACCTGACCTGTGACGTCATCGGTTTGACCTAGGTCAATGAAATTTGGTCACAAGGTAGTTCCCGGGTGGGGCTATCGAACGCCGTTTGAATTTTGAAAATCGGCCGGTAACTTTCCGAGATCTTAGGGGGGGGGGCCGAAACGGCCCCCCCCCCTACGGGTGGTAGGGTCTGCCGGTAGCCCTACGGGGCGCGGGTTAAGCTGTCTTGAGTATGTATTTGAATCTGTTACATAAGAGCAGTTTTTTCGAAAACAAACTTATATAGTAAGTATTTTAGAAATATACAGGTACTCCCTAGCCGGCACAGGGGGTAGATACAACCCCCTGAGGTTTTTCGCCAATAACTCGCGTAAAAGGCATCCGATCGCGACGAAACTTTTATAGTACTCTCACGTTGATCCATTTTACACCCACCCTGAAAATTTCATGACCCTGACCCAAATGACCTTTGACCTGTAACCTAATTTTCGGGAGCATGTTTGGCCAGAATCGCGATTCGGCGTGTGTCGGCTCGCATTAGCCGCGCGTTTGCAGTCTTTTCGTGGCTTCAAGCGTTCAAATGTGATTTGACGTTGCTCCCATGCATTCGGGTGGATGTCAAGGTCATCTGAATGTCAGGTCAGGTCATTGACCTTTAATGACCTGGGCTCACTTTTTCGAGTTTTATACGTTTCTAGGCTAGTTTTTGGAGCTGAATTCAAATTTAGAAACCATTTGAACATTTACAAAGTAGATTTGGTGCCTTCGAAACATGCTACGAACCTGTCAGAGGCGGTTGACACCTACTACGAATACCCAGCAAAACCGCTACTGGTTGACCTGACCTGACCTGACCCGACCTGACATAAATGCATAAAGACATCATCTGTGATAAAAACTAACATGATATTCGTGAT